CTGTCTGTTGGCCAGTCTGCTCCACGGATCCCTGTTGAAGGGAGCCGCCTTTCTGGTGGCAAGCAGGCCCACGGCTAACCTGAAGTTCCTCAAAGGGACTCAGGTGGAGGTGTTGGGCTTTCAGAAGCCCCAGAGGGAGCTCTACTTCAACACCTTCTTTACTGAACCCGCTGCAGCCAACAGAGCATTGGAGCACATGGAAACAACTCTGGGCTTTTATGATTTCTGTGCTTCCCCCAGGTTTTGCTGGACAGTCTGCTCTATTTACAAGTGCCTCATTGATTCAGCTGCCAAACTTCCCGAAACATTATCTCAGCTGTTTATAGATATCCTGGTGCACCTGATTCAGAGTCTTTCCCTTACCAAGGCCTGCAGTAGAGGGTTATTGTTAGCCCTCGGTAAAATGGCCTCTCACTGCCTCCATGACCCACATGCATGCTGTTCTAAAGACATTCTTGATTCCTGTGGGTTTCAGCAGCAGCTTACCACCTTGGGAAGTTTCTTAAAAGTGCATGATGAAAAGGAGTTCTCCTTCCACTCCCAACTAATGCAGGAGTTTGTCTTGGCTGTGGCTTTCTTTCTCGATGCGTCAACCTATGAAGACGTAGAGAAAATGCTGGGAAATCACAAAGGTTGTACAAAGTTACTAGATTTCTTTATGTCAGGGCTCTCTGAGCCTGTCCAGTACAGATCGCTGGAGGAGTTGCTGGGGATATTCAGCAGTGATCAAATTAAAGGTTTTAAAAGCTGGTTTAAAAGCAGCTCAGAGAAAAAACTGAAGGATTACAACAAATCTGAGCACTACAGATGTTTCCATTTACTGCATCAGGTGCAAAATGAGAGCCTGGTAAAGGAGATCCTCACCCCTCCCGCACACCCGTGCATCTTTCACGAAAACCTGAGCCTCGCCGACTGTGCAGCTCTGAATTACGTCATCACATGTCTGGGAGAAAGGGAAAAATTAAGTTTGTCCAGAACTACAATATCAAAAGAGATTATGGAGGTGTTGCTTCCATCTGTGAGGCTGTCGCACACTGTGATGTAAGGAACGTGTTTTTGAAAATTCCTCGTAAAAGCCTGGTGTGTTCAGTGTCTTATTAAATGCAATGCTTTCTCCTCCAGGTTGTCAAACTGCTCCATCCATATAGAATCCATCCCTCTACTGGCTTCAGCTGTCTGCATGGGAGCCACCAGGGAGCTGGTTCTCTCTCACTCCAACCTCGGAGATGAAAAGGCTCAAGTCCTATTTACAGGACTAAGACGGGCCAAACTGCACAGACTAAAGTAAGACTAAATCCTTTTTTAAATTACTTCTGTTTATGGAGTTTTAAGAAGTTTTTACCCGCTAACAAATTTTACAGATGTTTTTTGGGAACATTTCTTCAAACAGATACTCTAAGCAATCACAAAATAATAAAAAAAAACATCATAATCCTGTGTGATTGAGCAGATGTTTTAGAAAGCTAGGGTCAACCTGACTTTTTCACCTGATTACTAACAGACCTGCAGAATTATTGAAAAGAAAATGCATTATTCTTGTTATTGTTACAAATCCAAAGCTGAGGAATCAAAACCACTGAAGGCTCCATTTGCCTCCAAGAAGATTAGTACCGGTATTCTCTGATATTTTTAAAAAGAAAATATCGGCACTGATTTTGTTTTTTTTATAATCACACTGATCCAGAACAACGTGGTATTCTGGATGATATAGGTACTGAAGAGGAAAGGCTTCAGCCTCTCAATCTCTCATAGCCAAACTAAGCAAAGCAGGTAGTAGGGCTGACCTATTTAAATGTTAAAGATTAGGTTTAAACAGGGTTACTGTAAAAAAGAAAAAAAATTCAAATAAGTAAAAAAAAGAATACAGATTTATAATTATCAATATCAACTAAATTGAAGAATCAATTTTTTAGACATATTGCGCAGCTGTAATTGGAGGGGGCCTGCACTGAATATGTCAAACCTATCTTAGACTGTCATCAGCATTTCGGAAAAGGAAAATAAATCGTACATTAGTCAAACGAGGTGGTGGCAGTGTGATGGTCTGGGATAGTTGTTCTTGATCTGTGTATCTGGGTTATCGTTATTTGAGCTGCTGTGACCCTTTACAGGCTGTTCATTCAATCCACCCACACTGGTTGGATTGGACGGGTTGTTTTAAATAGAACGAGGGTGAAGATTCCTTCACAGTGATGTAAAAGAGTTAACTGCTAGTTATGAACACACCTGATGGCAGCTTTTATTGAGTGGTAGATCCAGTTCGTAGCTTAACGAGGCAACTGTTTTTTTTGTTTTTTTTTAAGGGCCAGGTTGCTTTGGAAAGCTTTTCTCTGTAATTATTAGAAACATTTTAAAAATAGCTTGTATTTACTCAGGTTATTGCAGATATTGAAATTTGATTGATTTGAAAACGTTTAAGTGCGACTAAAAATTAAAAAGGAATAGAAAAAAAAAACTATATGTATGTATGTTTCACCATAATCCCCATAACCTGAGTTGTTGATCTCTCCAATCTGAAGCCTTAATGTCTGTGAACTGACTGCGTCCTGCTGTGGTGACCTGGTGTCTATGCTGACTTCAGAAACCTCCCAGCTCCAGATTTTAGAGCTGATGTTTAATCCGATCTCCGACCAGGGCTTCATGACACTGTGTGAAGCAATGCATAGTCCAAACTGCAGACTGCAGGAGCTCCAGTGAGTACTGAATCCGGCTTCATTGCAAATAGCCATAGTCGGATCACCTACTTGATTTTGTAACATTTTCCGAATCTTATAAAACAGGCTTGGAAATTGTGACTTGACTGAAGCATCCATGGAGGCTTTCGCAGCTGCTTTGTGTTCTGGTGAATCCCGACTGAGAAAAATCGAATTAAAGGATAACGAGATTGGTGACAGAGGAGTTGAAGCTCTGTGCAAAGCCCTGCAGCAGCCAAATGGTAAACTGCAGAGCCTCGGGTACGTCAGTTTCAACATTTGAAAACCCCAATCGGCTCCTTTACTTTTTGTTACCCGAGGTGGTTAGATTTCATAAAAGCTTCTTTGTTCCAGGTTGTTCGATACCTGTTTAACAGGTGTGTGCTGCTCCCATCTGATGAAGGTCCTCATGTCTGAACACTGCTCTCTGTCAGAGCTTGATCTGTCATTGAACGATTTGGGACAGGAGGGGGCGCTGCTGCTTTGCCAAGGCCTAAACAGACCCAACTGCCCCATAGAAATCCTTGGGTAAAGTCCTCTGCTATGTTATTTTACACTCCATCAGTCTTAATTCTTACATTTCTAGATGCATATGAAAGCAAGCATTCCTTAAGCAGCCCTGCTCTGCACTCTCACTGTCTCTACAGCTTGACGCGGTGCAAGTTAACCCAAACGGTCTTCCAGGAACTGGGATCAGTGCTTAAAAATGGAACATGCCAAATCAAATCTCTGCTTCTAGCCATCAATAAGGTGGGAGACCAGGGGGTTAAATATATTCTGGAGGCTGTTGCTCATCCAAGCTGCTTGCTGGAGGAGCTGAGGTGAGTTTATGACGAGGAATCGGAATCCTTTTTTTTTTTTTAAACCTTTTGCACTTTGTGAATCTGTTTGCTTCCTGTCTAACATAGTTTGGAGATGACTACTTTGACGGATGCCTGCGTAGAAGACCTGTGTGCTGCTCTCAGAGCCAATAATACCCTGAAGCTCCTAGAGCTGAGAAACAACTCTCTCACCGACGCTGCCGTCCCTCCCATCGTCCAAGTTATGAAGGAAAAACACAACATGAAGGAATTAAAGTAAGCCTAATTCTCTTTAGTCAGAACCCATAAGCACATTTTGTTCTCAGCGATCTAACTGCTTCTTTGATTTCCTTTCCATTCAGCCTGAAGTACAACGACTTCAGTGAAGATGCTCTTTTAATTCTGGATGAATGCCCCAACATAAGATATTGAGGAGGTAAATGCCATCAAATCCAATTCCACCTGAAAACCTCAAGTCAGGCTTAGAAACATCTCTTAAAAGTTCAGAACAATTTGTCCTCTTAACTATTTTCTTTTTTTTAGATCACTTTTCAAGGATTCAGGAAAATGACCAAACTGAGAAAAAAAAAGCAGCTTTTTCAAATGGAAAAAGAAATTGCCCCCTAAACCTAATAACTGGCTGCCCATCTCTTGGCATCAACTACTTTCATCAATCATTTCCAGTATTTGGCAATGATCCTATGGCTGGGGAAGGGATGTGTCCCGCTCTGGTCAGTTTGACACCAGATGTAAAATATTCACTTTCTAAAATCGTATTATTCCACAGAATATATTCCCAAAGCTCACATTTTTATAGAAAATTTGAACTCGTGTAACATTGTGTTAATATTTCTAGTAAAGGGAATTAACCTCAAGTAGCTAACATATGTCTCTCTCAGTATATAGGAATGTAACTTTTGTAAAAGGGCAGTGACTGCTACTTAAAAAGTGTAACACACAGATCTTTGAGATGAGATGTTCAGTTCTAGAAACCTAAATCCATTAAACAATCTTCAGGCTGCTCTAAAATGTAGGGCTCTGTGTGACTTTCAAAAAATATTGTAAAAGACTCCCTTTGAGTATTAAAAAATATTCCTTCACCAATTATCTTTAGATTGAAAGTTGGGGTTTTCTAAATGTCCATGTAGGAGAATGTGTCACTGCAGTAAAAGATCAGTCTGTTTTGATTTTGTTTCTACACATCCCACCAGAGACAACAATGGTGGCCGAGCAAATGTCTAGATCTAGTTCAGGGGTCTGCAACCTGTGGCTCTTTAGACATTGTACAATGGCTCTTCGTTACCTCGGCTAAAAACGATAGAACACACTAATCTTTTAAAATATATACTAACAAAAGTAAGTTTTTCCATTTTCTCAGTTGCCTAATTGCATTGAACCTCCAAAATAACTGGAACACAAATATGATAAATATTGACTTAATGCAATTTTCACAAATACTAGTAACCCATTAAACATGCATTTGTCTTTTTGCATATTTTTTTCTTCATTTTAAAACCTTAAATGAGCAAGATATTAAACATAAGTTAATTTTTGTTTTTAATAGTCATCTTTGCAAGTTTTGTGAACAGTACTGAAATCCTAAATGACTCTTTACATTATAAAGTTTGCAGAACCCTGATCTTATTAATGTTGTTTAAGATGCACATCATTTATTGAACAATCTTTGAGCTGTTCTGGATGCCATGGAACATAGAAGCCAACTAGAGGGGGAGGACGCTCAGTTCAGGATAGCCATGCTTTAATAGATCTAAGATTTGCTCACATAAGCAGGACCTGTGTAATGTGCCTTATAGTATATTATAAATAAAAATGTACCAACAGTATATTTGTGGTTTCATGTAGCAACAAAACAGAAAACGATCTGAGAAAGTCGCCTTGGAAATTAAGGCAACTTAGTCAATGAGGCTCTGTTAGCTTAAACGCTAAAGGTGTTGAAAGATAAAAGTTGGCATATCAGAATCACTGGATTTATTGCATTTTTTTGTTTCAAATTGAGAAACCTTTGGGATGTCTGAAATCAAAAGCACACAAGCATATTTAACTATAATACAACAAATACGATGGAAGCAGTGATTTGTTTCACAGCAATCAAATACATAAACCATTGCCGATAAGAAAATCTATTTACATGCATAAAGCATTGTAAGCAGTTCTTCAGTTGCTGAAATTCTCATGTGTTTGTGTACTTTGTGAGAAAAACAGCAGATGTAAACATTTCAGGGTCCCAAGGCTGTGCACCAACCATGGAGTTTAACATCTTTGCATCATCTTTGGAAAAATAAATCGAGGTTCACTGTGATAAGGCACAGAGTCGGTCTCACATGAAGTAAAGGACAGCATTTGGAATAAAGGATCTTCTCTCAGTGGTCATGAGTTTCTCCGTTAAGAACACCGGTATGGCTGCTGTCCTTCAGTTTGGAAGGTGGACAGCAGTTTTTACTGCCGTTGGAGGAAATGTCCTCATCCGTGCTGCTCTCTATGTCGCTACGATCGTCTTTTGATACCTGAAGAACACAGAAATTTTTGTAATTTTTGCTAAAAACTTCACATCTGTTTATCTTTTGTTCATCTGAAGGACATATTTCTTATTTGTAATTTTAGTCAGGAAGAGCTATGGTCAGATAAGACCTACATGTAAAGTACAACATGTGGCATCGCCACTGATCTCCATTTATTCACTGGATAGCTGATAGTAAACGGTGTTGTGAAGTCACCAACCGCCATATTGGTACTCCTTAGTTGGAATGTAAACAATACATGCGCTACAGCATTGAACAACAATGATGTTCTCATTTTCATGGAGGCTTAAGACTTGAAATAAAGAAATTAATCACTTTGACACACACTTGCTGTTTCATACAGGGTTCCTGCAGCATGAGGCAAGTTAAATTCAAGACTTAAGACTTTTTACTGCCACTTGAAATAACAATTTAAGACCAAATTCACAAGAAACACAAGAAAAACCTGCTTGCGACAACTTTACCCAAAGGTTTATTTTAACATAAACCACTGCACCAATGTTTCAAATTTTGAAAAGCTTTCCATACAGGAAGAAAGCTAAAAACACACAAATGACAGATTTATTTTAACAATTATTTAACTGAATTCACAAACTTTGTTTTAGCAGGGAACAAAACAAATCAGTTTTAAAGCCACAACATAACCAGTGCAGTCTTTTTTGCAGCCATTTTTCTTTGTATCATTTTCTTAATATGTTTGATTTGGTGATAAGTGGAGGCGTTGCAGAGACAAGGCTGGAACAAAACTGAGAAATACCAGTAATTCTCTAAGTCGATTTTGACAATTTGTGTTTTGCGCTTCGCATGTGACTCCACTGCCTTAATTCCCATCGTTCCGAGCTTTAATCGCTTCTTGCACAAAATACACTGTGCCTCAGGCATGTTCCCTGGTTTTAGCCATGGAGAAACTCTTGGCTGGAGCCAATTTTCATTACATTTACACTTCCTCATATTTTCCAAACAAAAAGGTAATGGCGCATCTCCCAAATGTCCCGGCCGCAACAACGCTTTTATTGGTTCCGCTATCGGGACGGAACCAATAATGGTGAGTCTTTATTGTTTTTAAATAAAAAAAAATAATTGTAAATTTTAATGTTTTATTTAGATTACAAAAATAAATCGTAATAAAAATAATCCTATTTATGATGTTTTAAAAATTAAGACCTACGAAAGACTGATTTAAGACATTTTAATACCAATTAAAGCCTTAGTTTTATTTTGAAGAATTCAACACCTTTTAAGACTTTTTAAGGACCCGCTGACCCTGTTAATAGCATCCGTAGATTACTGTCATTTAATGTAAAAAATAGAAACATCACATCAGTATAAAGTCTATGAAGTCTATAAATCATGTACTATAACCTATACAATCCATCACAACAAAATTTGTGTGATGGAGTACGAAAATGGCGGCAGGTGACTTCAGTTTTTTCCGGCGTATCAGCAATCGAGTGAATAAACAGAGATCAGTGGGCTTTGCCCTAAATTGTCCCCCATCGCCCTATAAGGCAGGAGCATCAGGATGCGGGGGTTCAGAAGGAGGATGGAGATGTAAAATAAAACATTTTGAAAAAGAGCATGAAAACATTTCCAGTTCTGTGTGAAGCTGTAAACATACCTTTCCCTTGAAGATAGCTTTGACAGCAATGCGGGTGATGGTGTAGAACCAGATGATGTGAAGAACCTGCAGGACCAGCAGAAGCCCGTTCAACAGCCACCAGGCCCGATACGGCCCAATAATCTCCCAGCTCTCAAACAGCACGCTGTGAACAATCCTACAAGGAAAGCACACCAACAATTTAGGAAATGCATTTATTTTATCTTCTGTAGTTCCTGGATAAACTCTCACCAGAAAGGATAGATGACGAGCCGTGCGATGAAAAAGCTAATGCTGAACACCACAAACATGGTGTCACATAGCCTCTGGTATTTGGCATAGTTGGCCAACTTGGCTGCCTTTGAGAAATAAGACAAACAATGCAAAGCCCTCAGAAATAATCAAACCAATTCTTCTTTAAGTTAACGGCTAACTTGCATTTCAGTGGATGATGCCTTTATTTACCTCGAGGAAGATGTCTGACGCATCGTGCACACACATGACCAAAGTACCAGCTCTGAGCATGTTGTTGCCATAGGAGATTGTGATGAGGAATATGGTGGCCAGGTGGTGGACAAGCATGATCATGAAATCCTGACATTGACAAAAAGAATAAAGAGATATTTACTTCTGAACAATGGTAAAACTGTACATAGTAATACGACAGGTGAAGTTATGACGCTGTATAGTATTTATAGAGCAAATAATTCAATAACCCGTATGGGAAATAAACCCTTTGGAATAATAAAAGCCCATTATTCAAATTAGTTATTGTGGTTAACTTTTATTGATCATGTCCTGTAATAGTTTTTCCAGCAGACTGTAGAGCAGTGTGTTGTCTAGAAGGCGTACAGTGTTTTCTAAGCCTGACACAATAAATCACATTAATCCTGCCTTATCTATTAGTTTTGATAGTCAAAATCAGATTGTTACCCAGAGCAGCCTTTATCAAACCGGCTCCTCCGGTAGCACCGCCCTGCATGTTTTGGATGTCTCACTGTTGCAGCACACCCCATTCAAATCATGGCATGACATCTTCAGCAGCCATCTAGTGCTGCAGAAGCCTGTTAATCATTCTTTTATACGAGCCAGATGTGGGGCAGCGAGGCGCTGTCAAACAATGGAGGGCATGAAGACCAGGATTTATACTCACTGACCTGGAGTATTGGTACACACACTGTAAAATATGCTGTTTTCTTTTAGCAAAACTCTGACTTTAGAGTCTGTGTCAGATGTAACATACTCTACTTATAGCAGTAATCAAGACATAATAGATAGAAATATTAGCCTAATAAACAAAGAATAGTTACAATTTTCCCATTAAAGAGGAAATTGTTTATTCATATTTTGTATAACCAAGTGTATTTTCAAGTTTTTTTTTTTGCAAAAAAATTTGTAACCAATTATTTTTCTTTAATCCACATATTTTTGTATTTACCAAAAATGCATAATAGATAAATTAATAGATTAGAGATTAGATTAATATATAATGTAGGTGTACAAACCACCTTTAAGCTTTGACTTTACGTCATCTTAAAAGTTTTCAACTGTTAATAATTGGAAAATACCAATATGACGGTATTACAATGCTAACAGATGGTAAAACACAACATCAAATTATTTTATATGCAGGTGAACTTGCAGCTGCTGATTCTGATCGTTTACTTTATCCAAATAAACATGGAAATCATATAAATACCCTAAATATTAAAGGATTTTGTACCTTATGGTATACATTTTTTTCTGAATGTCTTTTTTTAAAGACTTCCTTAAAAACAGCACAATTTCTAGGAATGTTTCGTAACAAAAAGGATCCAACATGTTAGTAAACCACGTGGCCATGTGCAGACGCAAGTTACTGAAATATACAAAGAAAGCAGAAGGTGTGTGACTAACCATGGTGTTATTATAGTTGTGTACTGGTTATCTACACTGAAATAAAACAATTGATTTCCATTAATTGAACCCTCTACTCTGAAAACACCCTCATTAAAGTCCAACCCAGCCAATGACCCTTTGCAAGAGGTTACAAAGTAGTTTGAAAGTAAAGGCTTTGTTCTTTATTGCATCACTCAAACAAATATAAAAATATTTAGGACTGCACAGACAATTTTAACTGTGTACTTTGGTCCAGTAAGATTAAGGATTCAGTAAAAAAAGAAAACACCCAAAGTTGAGTTGGTTTAAGTAAAGGATCAATACGATAAAACTCGTCTCATTCCATCTGTATGGGGGAGGTCCTGTGGTGCTGTGGGACGGTTTTTCTTATGGAAGCCCTGATAAAGGCTTTTTTCTTCCTTCATACTGATTGCAAAAATGACATATTTTTTTATCTGTGTGTGCAGTTTAAGATCTTATTTTTTTTACTGAAAAGTATCCCATAAAATTAAGCAATTTAGCTGAGTTAAATAGGTTATATTTAATCTAATGTGCTATCTGTATGTTATACATTGTTATTTTTTTTTTTTCGTTTTAACCCACTACACTTGCATGCTGAAGCATGTGATGCCTTGACACCAATACAAAGAGCATAGCAAGAAAGCAAAGAATACAAAAACTAAAACATGACATCTAGGAAAAATGCCTTTAGGCACAAAATGATTTATGGGGCGAGTCCAATAGAGCTGGTTGTTGACTCACCTTTCGTTTAATATCTGTGAACTGGGACACCATCAGAGACCAATAGAAAGCCAGCTCGGCAACATAGTAGTTGTATTGTCCTGGACTTAAAGGCTTTAGTGGGGAATAGAGAAAACAAAGCTTTGATAAATATGCATGCATATTAAACTTTGAATAACATGGAGCTGGATTGATCAGAGTAACTCTGTGAAAATAGCAAATTGTTCACATTAAACTGCCGACCTGAAAAGGGTAGTTGTACCAACAGTGTCTAGTATCCCACATCCAAGGTGACTAAAAGAGACAAAACAAATATGAGACCAGTTAAACATTAAAGAAGAAACAAACACACTGCATGATAATACATGCAAACATTGCTTAAGGAGATTAAATTAGGATATAACTGTTGGTAATTATTATCAATTTATTACTAAAACATACTGTAATAAAAATAGACTCCAAGACTATTTGTACAGGAGGGTTTTCAGTCCCATCGCAGTAAAACTACAAATGATATTACTTTGATTGGGACTTTATTAGATAAACACCAGTCAAAACAAAACTAGACATGTTTTTTATTTTATTTTCCAGATAAAATAAATGTATATGCGTCATGCCTTTGTATTCATCTCCAAGGAAATACTGTCTAGATCCACATATCCCTGCAAATCACAGCAGCAACTCTTCACTTTAATTATCTTTGCAAAGCTAGAAACTAAAAATGTTCCCCAGGCCTCCTTAAAGTTTATTCAAACTCTATGGAAAGTATTTTTGCAAATTAGTTTAAATCCTGCCAGACATCCCCATTTGGATTTGAGTTCTATTATTCTATTCAACAAAGACATTTAGCTTCAACCTTTGCAGTGCAGATCTGGCCGAGTCAGAGTTGTTAGCTAGTTTTACTGTCCTGTTGAAAGTGGAGCTTCAGCATGATTGACAAGTCTTTTGCAGTCTATAGTAGATTTTCTCAGTACTGCCTTGTATTCAGTTCCATGCAGCTGATCTTGCCCTGCTGAAAGAAGCCAGCAAAGTGCTTCAAAGGATGACATCCAGTGTTAGCTTTCCATATAGCCTGTTGCTATTTTCCCTGACCAGAGCACCTTTATCTTCATATTTACCGTGTTCATCACAAGACTTGTGGCAAAGACTGCAATGGTTGGCTTTGTACAAGATACAGTATTCGGAGTGCATGACTAAAGGTCATTGGAGACTCAGACTCTGCCAGAACCAAGAAACGTGTTCTCCTTCTCAAAGCAGGGAGAGGAAGAACGTGACTCTTTGCTTTTAGTGTTGGCTCGGAGGTCGTTTTAACTTCTCAGCTTTGTTGTGTCTAGCAACTATTTTGCGACTCAGCCACCCACGGACTTTAACCATGCTTAAAGGAGGAATTGTCCTGTCCTGCATATTTCTTCTGTCTCTCCTTGCCAGCACCTCTGTACTTTGGTTTCTTGTAAAGTACAAAATGTTTCGGACCGAACCAACTTTGTTCTCGCTGCTGCTACCTCCAGTAAAACACGTTCCACAGTTCCCGTGGAATACGTACACCTCTTAAAGGCTTCTCTCAGGAATTAGCCGATAAAAATAAGGCTTCACAGTGGGACACTTGCCTTTTAGCAGGAAGGTCCTTGGTTTGAATCTGGGGTTAAATACTAGAGATAAGCAAAAGCCCCCCATGGATAAGTTGGCATAAATAACTGATAGATTTATAGAAACCAATTCTTATTTTGCATCCTCTTCAGCAGTTTTTCCACCGTCGCTACATGCATGCTTAGTGTGAGGGGTTGCCTTCTAGTCAATGAGTCGATGCAATCAACTGGTTTTGCTTAGATAGAAAACTTTGAATCAATTTGACTGTGTGATCTGGTTGAATTGTAAATTGCCTTGAGATGACGTTGTGTGAATTGGCGCTATATAAATAAACTGAATTTTATTTTTACTAATTAGCGTTGGTGTCTTACATATAATCCAAATAAAATATAACAGTATTTATGGTAGTAACATGGTTAAATGTGAAAAGGTTCCAAATTGTATTAATACTTTTGCAAGAATCTGCCTGATTTCAACTTACCGTCCACAAATGGCTAATGGCATAGATAAAAATCACCAGGTAAAAGGTGAATCTCCACCTGTAATTAGGGGGAAAAGAAAGAAAAAACAACTGGTTTGAGAAAATATCTACAATCTTAGAAGAAGATAGACATCTATGTTGTTAACTCTGCATTCCTTTTTGAGACATACATGCTCTCACAAAACTTCTTCTGCATGCTGGGCCTGTCCTGGTTCCGGCGGACACGAAACCATCTCTGAATTTTCCGTTCCTCCCAGTCCAGCTGCTTGGAGAGTCCCTCCATTTGTCTCGCATCTGGGCACTAGTGGGGACAATTGAGCAGTGGCTTGACTTTACTTCAAAAGTTGCTGCTTGTAAAACCACAAAGGTATTTCATACAACAAGAGGTGCTTACTGAACATATCATTATGCTTGCGGTGGTATGCACCACTGCAACAACACTGTGCTGCTAAGTGTACAGAAGCAACAGAACAAACACAACCCCTATGTACCGTGTTGGACTGATAGAGCCTCTCCAGGACGGCGTTAGGCTGAGCTCGTCGGGGCACTCCCGCCTGAATCTGAAGTATGTGGGCACAGGGTTTGGCCACTAGCCTGTGTACACACAGACAGAGGGGCAAAAACCAGAGGGTGGACACACACACGTTATGTATTAAAGAGACATTCAGCCACAGAGACATTTAAAGTCACAGTAATTTAGCAGTACAGTTCCCCCATAATAACACGTTTGACAGGAATGACTGTATCCGTCTATGACAGAAGGACAGAGAGCAGAATAAAGGCTGTTAAAAGGGAGGGACAGGGACGTGTCTCAGAGGCAGGAGAATGTTGCACATAGTCTAAACAGAGTGTGATGACCTGTCATGTGAGAGTATTGAGTCCGAGTTCAGGAGAGAAAAACTCTGGCCAAAATACTAAAGCGTGTCACAGGATCATCTGGTTGAGCTGGCCATTGGTACTGATGAAACACAGAAACCGTATAGAATGGCATTGTGGTAAAAACCTGCTCATCTTGATTTGGTGGAAAATCAAGTCCTGTTGTATCTTTATGCTTCTGACATCCTCCCTGTTTAAATAATGTATGTATACTGACATCAAGGAACAGGTATTTACTATGTTCTGTTGCATAAGGACAGGGTATGTTCATGGCCACCCCAAGGCAGAAATTAGGCTTTTCCCAGGACCCCAAAACTAATGAACCGTTTGAGGTTTTTTTGCATGTATAATGATTTCTATATAGATGTAACAACGAAACTTTATAATAAAATAATGCATTTTTCCCCAATATATCTTTAATTATGTAGAAATCATAACTTTCTACATAACCTTACTCTTGGAGCCAGACTGACGCACAGATAAAGAAGCATTTAGAAACAAACACATTCTCACAGACAAACTTATCTTTGGAGAACAAGCCGTTAGTGATAAGATTGCACTGGCCTTCAGTCTAGAGCACAGATGACCTCATTTACTCTCCAACTTTCCTAAAATGTGATCCGAGTTCTACCCAAATCCTCAGGACGGCCTTAACTCTACCTGTGACTATTAACTTCTCCAAACTGTGACTAATGCAGAACTAGCTGAGATCTGTCATGGTGGAAGCATGATCGGCATGGCCTGGCAGTAACCATAAAAAAAAAGGAGTCTGTCAGGTCTCTAACACTGATAACATCAGTGACTTTGCAAACAGAAAAGCCTGTAAGCACAGGTTTAAGAGAGTGGAGAACTGAGGAATAACCTTAAAATTCATTTGTGAGGGTAAAGGTTATTTTCTTTATATGGACATTTTGCATATAGCTAAATACATTCACAAAGTTTTACATTTTATTCAATAATATACTTGGTTTTAAGAAGCTTTTAATTTCCATTATTTATTAACATAATTTGTCTTTTTCTTTAATATTTTTTGCTATTTTACGCTATTTTGTTTGATGTTGTTTTTGAATTACAGGTTATTTTTGTACATTGCTGTTATAATTGGAACCAAAAACTATATTTAGTAACCATATGACACTGCCTATAAATAAACTGCATACTAGTTTATTTTTACTACTTTAAGTAACACTAGCTGATACATGGAGGCTTGGGTTTTCAATATCTGGTTTTGTTTTTCTCCAACAATTAAAAAAGACTAACTGCACATCTGGCAATGGATCCCTAAGTGGCTGTTAAGCGATTTAATTTAAAAATCATAGGGAACTGTGTCAGTATCAAGCATCTGGCATCCTGAGGTGACTGAATCTTAATAAAGTGCCTTCATTCTGTTCTTATTGGGTTGCATGAAATTAAATGTTAAAATTGGGCCACTGCTATAAGGTTTTGACATCCCCCAGGTAAATTTGGTAGCATGTGCAGTGTATATGGGGTATGAACCCTGTCACACGCCTACTGCAGAATATTCGGCACATTTAGAAAACCAAGGGCAACATGGATTAGGTGGATGTCGAATTTTGTATACTACAGTGTTGAGAGTGAAATAAAGTGATACTGGAAGGTTTTTTTTTGCCTAAAGCAGTGCAATTTTTTTCATGACAGTGAAATGAAACATGATATGCTTCTGCATTGCTTCACAATCCTAATTCAAACCATACTAGTTCATACAAATTTTCCAATCAGATCCAATCCCATACAGATCCGCTGATCGTAATTCCAGTACAGAACAATTTCAGAGCACTCCAAATCTTTTATAATGTGTTACTATTGCAGCCATGTTCTTTAGCTAAACTCATCACTTCTTATCTGCAGTTTTTCTGGTTTTACATGTTTTGTGTTAGATAAAAGTAGATAAACAAGCATTTGCCTTTTTCTGCAGTTACATGAAAGCAAAACATTAAAATGTTGCCCTTCCCAGGGGCAGAGCTAGATGGGGGCCAGGGGGGGCCATGGCCACCCGTACCATTTTTTTTCGTCCATGGTGGCAGCAGTAATACTCTCAAGGGGACTGTTCAAATTTATTAAAGATTTGAATTTTTCATATATTAACTACTTGACAACTAAAAAGCTGTCTTTATGCACTTTAAAACAATAACATTAAAGTTGATATATACAGAAGTCATGCTCTTTTCAGAACTATATTTTTGTGCCATATGAGGTAAAGAGAGAATTGTCTCTGCAAGTCATCTAGAAGTCTTAAGTGAAATCATAGATAAATAACTACTTTAATAACTTAAAAATCCATTAAATGTAGATATTAGTACACATAAATATGTTTTTTTATGCAGATAAATTTTTTTTTTTTTAAGTATGTAAGTAATGACAATGGAGATGTTCGCCCCAGAAATTTTGTCCTCTACACCTTTAATTAGTCAGCACAGATGTTTAAATACATGTGTCTATTTGTTAGGAAAGGCTCTAGTAAAGTATAGTTAGTCTTGATTTACAAAATATGGATGTTGTGGTCCTTTCTTCTGGAAAGTGTAGCTTGACCCTGAAATGCTGGCGCCTATCCCCCACCCCTCAGTGTACATTGGTTATTGCCTGGCCAGCCTTATTAAAATTTTCAGGCTATGCCTCTGGCCCTTCCTCCAAGAATCTACAGTCTACAATAATCATGATGTCTTATCTGGATAGGGCCCCAAAAAATTGGCCCTTACTGCTTCTTACAACCTTTGGTCGGCTCTGCTTTCAGCAAAGCAATCTCAGCAAATTTTGAGCTCCGTCAAATCACTTTTAGTATGGAAGAAGATTAGGGCCACTGAAAAAAAAAAGTTAACAGATTTTTAAATATTTCAGTTTCACATGGGGAAAAAGCCAGAATTATGACTTTAATCTCAGAATTCTAACTTTTTTCTCAGAATTTGGACTGAATTCTGACAGCTAACAAACATGTTAGCATCAAGCTGTAGCCATGTCTGTGTTAAAGACTAGTTCTCTTGTTTTAATCACCTTCTGCTCCTCCATCAATGAAATAGAATCACGGGGGATCCCTCTGGCACGTAAAAAGTTGCTTTATTTAATCATTTTTCACCAATTTGTCATTGGCCCTCCCAAACAACTCCCATCATTGTCAGTGAAGCTGAGTGCCCCACATGTCTCTCTTCATGGTGCCAATCTACATTAAGGTAAAAAATTCTGAGATTAAAAGACAGAATTCTGAGATTTAAGTCATAATTCTGAGATTTAAGTCATAATTCTAAGATTAAAAAAATCATAATTCTAAGATTAAAATTCATAATTCTAAGATTAAAAGTCATAATTCTAAGATTAAAAGTCATAATTCTAAGATTAAAAATCATAATTCTGAGATTAAAAGTCATAATTCTGAGATTAAAATTCATAATTCTGAGATTAAAAGTCAGATTTCTGAGAATAAAAGTCAGAATTCTAAGAACAAAAGTCAAAATTATGACTTTTTTTCCTCACACTGAAATAAAATGTAAAAGTCAGTTAACTTTTTTTGTTCTTTTCAATGGCCCTAATCCTCTTCCGTACTTTTAGTCATCGTCTAACCGGAATCCTGAAAAGGATGTTTACCAATTCTTTACATGCTTGACTTCATTTAATTAATTTATTTTCACAAAACGACTTGAGCGGGCAAACTTTCCCAAGAAAAGGAGAAGAAAACATGCCTACATAGAGCTTTTTCTCTGCTCAGAAAGAATGACTCATGTCCACATTCCTGAAAGAGGCAACTTTTTTTGCGGCTGGGCTGCAGTTTCCATTTTGTTTTATTTTAGTCCTTATGAAACATGGTTTCTGGGCAGTAACGGGCCCGCGAGGCTCCAACAGCGCAGGAACAAAACGTGCAAAGAAGTTAAAAAAACCAGCTGAACAAACTGACCTCTCGAAAAGCATCCTGAGTAGTAAAACCCCCGCAGCCAGAGGGAAGGCATGGCAGAGCATATGCTGCAGTCTGGGGTACTCCACTCCAGCTGCTGGCTGCTCCAGGTCTGCCCACGAAACATTTTCAGGAAGCCAGAAAGTCTCACTCCAAATCCAGGCGGAGATAGAAGAAGTCATCGGGGAGCAGAGAAGAGTGAAGCCCAAAGTAAAGCAAGTTGTCGGTGAAGCGTTGTCTCCCGGGCTCCTCGCTGAGCTTAAACAGCATTACTAACTCTCAATGAGGAAACTGAACGTTGGACTCTGCCAGGCGACAGGCTACGCCCACCACTGTTTACATACAGCCCCAGGCTTAATGGACTTATGCTGCCAATTAATGCTAGCAGCATCACACTGCAAACACACCTTTCTCTAACATTTTAGAACAACTTTTTAAAAAAAAGAAAAAAAAAAGTATTTTTCAGTTCATTTCTGCTGAACTCAAACTTTTAGTAGACATGACACTTTATTTATTTCTTTCATTTGTCAAATTTTTTATTTATTTTTGTGTCCTTTCAAAAATGATTGATAAACATTATTAAGTCTAAAAAAGAAAAACAGCTTGAAAATAAACATGAGCCGCATTCATGGACAGAGGCCTTCTGCTGAAAATAAATCTGAAATTACGGCTAAATAAAGAAAGTTAAGGCTAAAATGTGAGATATCATCAAGTTTCTGTACCAAAAAAATAATAAAATAAAACCTGTCAAAGAAAATAATTTTTTACTGACTACTTTAACACCTCGTGTATGATTTTAAAGTAAAATATTAATAGGTATTGATTATTTTCAATGTTTTCATGATGTACCCATAGACATACTTATATATCATTATCAAGAGAGAGAGGGAGAGATTTCTTTATTCTTGAGTGTTTAGATCAAATCTCAAGGTTTAAATAAAGTAAATTAAGAAAACATCAAATTTTAAAAGTGATGTGGCCATTCACAGGTTTGTGAATTATTAATATCTAACCACAAACTCCTAATTTTTAGTTTTAATTATTCAATTCCTCGATTAGAAGAGCATTATCACTTTCACACCATGCTGCAGACTTCCTTAAACAAAGGAAGCAGACAGTGACAACATATGATGTTTTATTGATTTTTTTTGTCCTGCCTGTATGTGTTTTAGTTGTTTCCCTTTAACATGACTATGTTAGAGCCTTTGAGGCAACATCGGGTATGATCAGTTCTGACAGTGACCACAGTGACATGGCATTTTACATTTGTCGTTTTATCATAAATGCTATTATATGGTTGCCATCTCCAACAGCCTTTCTTTAAAATTAATAGAATTATTTCTATTTCTATTATTCTGATCATATATGTTATCTAGGAATAAGACCTCAAACAAAGTTTATACCACTATATCATTTATGTAGTGTTTACATGATAAAAACAATCTTTATAATGAAATTTAAGTGACCTTAAATAAAATTAATCAATCATACTAGATTATTAAAGAGGAAATGTGTTATAAAACAAAACTGAAATGAGAAAAAGTGTCTTCTCCTTATCATATTGATTTATTTTGTCTTTTCCTAAGCACCATCTTCAGATATGACTTTTTATGTGATAGAATAACAGATAATTGAGAAGGTAAAAGAAAATCCCACATTGTTTCCAAATTCAATATTAATAAAGCTTTATTGGTTTTTAACTCAGATAAAACCAATAGCCTTCGGAGGCTACTTTATGATTAATTAGACTACACCTATGTCTCATTTCCCCCTGACGATGTCTGATGGTTTCTTAGCATGCATCTCTGGCTGCTCTCTGACATATCAATGGATGAAAGCCCATCACCTTCAACTAAAATCTTAAAAAAAATTGAACTGCTATTTTTCCCAGCCAAACCAACCATGCACTACAATATTCACATCCAGAGTGGATACCTGTCTCTGACTCCATCAAAGGCAGAAAGAAACTTTGGTGTCATGATTGGTGACCGGCTGACCGTTAAAGATCTGTTTTTTTGATCTTATCGTTTAGCACTACTGAACATAAGAAAGATCCATCCATACCTAACCCAACATACTACCCAGCTCCTGGTGCAGTCTGTGGTTATCTCCAGCCTTGATTATTGTAATGTACTCTTTACTTAACTCCCTGTCATGATTGGTTTAAGCAATCTGACCCACATGCAGAGAACCACTCAGAGACCAAGGGGAAAAGTTTAACAGGTTTATTAAATGTAGATGGATAATAGAAGTTGGATCTGGAACTCAGTGGACTGGTGAACCGGAACTGGAAAGTCTGAAGGGGAGATCACAGTGATCAGTTCAGAGACCGTAGGAAATTTGACTGAGGCTTGAATATTACTGGAGAGGGACTCACGGTTGATGGGGCTCTCGTCAATCCTTGAATCCAGCTTGTGGGGGTTAATCCAGAGAAGAGGGAACTCATTAGAGGGAGTACAGATAGACAAGCGTTGGACCCAGAAGAGTAAAGGAGCGGACTGTCACTTGGATTTCCGATGAGGACTTGAACGGATCATGTGGAGGTTTTCCCCTGCTGGGTGTGTACTCAGTTAATCCTTCCACGGGGAGAAGGTCCAGGTATCCAGTTACTCAGGAAGGCTTCCTGCCGAAGAGCAAAGACAAAAACCAGATAAGACTCAGAGAAACAAAGCTTCGGTTAGACTCTGCTAATCTCAGCTTGGCTAGATTACCCAAAACTGGCAAACACTCTGGCGTCGAGGTAGTGACAGCCCACTGCTCAAATACTCCTCCAGTAATGATCCAACAAGCCGCAGGTGTGCAGGGAGGCCTAACGAGGACAGGGCACCACCTGGTGGTGGAGAGAGGAAAACACACAAACAACCCACACAAACTGGATTCCTAACACTCTCAGCCTGTACAATAAATCCATTACAAATGATCCAAAACGTGACGACGTAACTGGTCTTCAATCAGCCAAAAAAGTCTCACATCACCTCTCTGTTACTTGGACTTCACTGGTTACCCCTGGCTGCCTGCATCAAATTCAATTCCCTGAGGCTAGCCAACAATGTGCTTAAGGGTATGGCTCCCGTCTACTTGAACCCTCTTGCAAAAGAGGTCGCAAATGTCACAACTCGGTTACTCCGTTTAGCAATGGATTGTCGTATAGCAGTGCCTACATAACGCTTAAGGCAATCCAGACTGTTTTTATGGGTTGTTCCAAGATGGTGGAATGACCTACCAAGCGCTACAAGAACAGCAGCGCCCCTCTTTATCTTTAGGAAAGTCTTAAAGACCAACTAAGTCGCTTTGGATAAAAGTGTCTCCTAAATGCATAAACATAAACATTTGTTCTCATTGTAAATCCAGCTGTTCTGTGGAGACATCAGAGGTTTGTTAGAGAACAGAACCCTAACTTTTATGGATGAGTGGCAGAAAGCCAAAATAATTATTGTTTGCAGTTTACCTAAAGCCATAGAAGCTATACTGTAGGTAACAGGTGCTGAAGGAGCTAGTTGTATGTTTAAGAGTTAGTTGTAAGAAGAAAAAACTCATCATTCTAAACATTACACCCCCTCTGTTAAAACTGCTGCTGCAGAGCTAAACATTCACAAGCCCTGAAAGAATATATTAGACCTGCAACAGAGGCAGTTCACCTTCCACAATAACTACTTACTACTAACAGAACAATTACTCTGACCAGACAGCCAGAGCTAACATTGAATCAAGGTGTATTTATCTCTAAGAATGGCCTAGTTAAAGTCTGAACCTAAATATAATTGAGCATCTTTGGCAAGACAAACATTGCTAACAAAAGACTCTTAATACAACCTGACACAAGTTGAGCTACTTGCAGAGAAAATTTTGAAAGAAAAATATTCTTCATGTAGGGGACTAAAGACTTTAATAGCATCAAAAGGCAGCAATACTAAATATTAACTCTCCAAGGCCAAATAAAAATGTTCAAATCAAATGGAGCATTTTCCTTTAAATCCCAATAAAATACACCTACTGTAATCTGACAAAATATGATGCAAGTTTCAAGGATATAAACAATTTAGCAAAGCACTGTACACGATCAACTCTATACAGATATATTAGGATCCAAGACTGTTACTGTAGTTACTGTTGTTGCTGTGATGTACAAACTGGACACAACATTAGAGGAGACGGATGCTGCACATGTATGACGTACAGTCTTACAATATGTGTCATCCTGTAGGTTTATACATCAGTACCAACCAATGCTAGAGCTGCTCCAGAGCCTGAACAAAACCCCTCTGTGTCAGTGTGCAGCTGCAGCTTCCGAGATGCCCTATATGGATCTGTGACCCAGTGTGGAGGGGCTTTAGACTTCAGACACATAAAAGGGGGGAGTGGGATCCTGTGTTTCAGGACTGTCTTTTTACTCAAATTGAGCGCAGGGTGTTTATCACACTGTAAGTTTTTATTTTAATCCACCTAGTTCAAATTCATTATGAGTGTGAGTCCAGATACAGCAGAGAGGTTCTGTTTACTGTTCGTCATCACATCATTGTCAACCCCTTTCCCTGCTTGGACTGCTCCAGTGCGCGTCTGAAAAAATCTGATAGTTGGGGAAGAGTTCTTCATGTCAGGGACTGCTTAGCCTCAGCACACAGAGCACTGCAGCTCCTGGATCACCTAAGGTAATATTATATAAAGAGCTTTACTTTTTAACCTTCTAATCTGTATTTATGATGTCATCTGGTCTGTAGGGAGATTTTAAAGCTGCTGTTTCTTTTAGAAATAACCACTGTCCTCATGGATGAGAGTGCACTTTTGTGCTTTTCCCAAAGGAATTACATCAATAATACCAAATATTTCTGTTTGCCAGGTTTTCTGCTTTAAATATATATTTTTTTATTCTATTAATTTAAGCAGAAATCAAATGGATCAGAAAGAGCTGAGTGATCCGCTCAACAACGTTTCTTTGATCAAAGGTAATCCAGCTCTGTTATTTTGCATCTCTACAAGCTTTTGCATAATTATTTAAGCTGATTGAGTTAGTGATATCTTACTTATATCTTATACTGCGATGCCTTTGCTATTGGAATACTTGGGTAGCATGGGTAAGATCAGCGTTTGGAGCTATTTGTTGTATTTAAAGCATATGATTCTGTATGTGGCCTTATTTTAGAGGATGACCTCTTGTTCTAGCTTATTAGAGGATGAAGGCACTCTGCACAGAAGATGGTGCCGATAACGCAGTGATGGTTCAACACAAGACCTTTGTGCAAGTGTATGGATGAATTTGTAATGCTACACTGCACACTATGAAGAGATAGAGC